TCCAGTTAGAATTGCTTTTTGTATATATTTTATGTGGGACCCAGTTGAATTTTTTCCCTCTAATGATACCCATTTTCCTCAGTACCATTTATTGAAAATATAATTTGCCTGCTGTTCTGCAGCATAGACTTTTATACAAATTCAGTGCTGTTATGTATACTTAATTTCCAGGTTCTCCATCCTTGCCTATTTGTTTCCTATAGCTTTTTAATGAGTTTTGATACCTGATAGAACAAATACACCAATATATATTTTATAATTAGCTCAAGTTTCATGTAGACATACACACATACAAACAAATTCCCAAACAAACAAAAAAGTAATGGCAGAAACCACAATTACTTTTGCACCAACCTAATGCTTGGGATTTTGATTGGGATTGTATTGTATCTGTAGATCAATTTAGGGAGAATTGACATCTTTACAATTTTGAGCCCTGTAATCCATGAACATGGTATCTAACTCTCCATTAATATGGGTCTTATTTTATGTAAGGGAGTGGTTCATAATCAAATTGATTAAGAAGCTGGCAATGTTTGGAGACATTTTTGGTTGTCAGGGGCGTGGGGTTCTACAGGCATGTACTGGACTTAGGGCAGGGATGTGGCCAAATATCCTACAACAAAGAATTACTCAGCCCCAAATGTCAGTAAGTACTATAGATAAGAAACCATGTTTGAAGGTCTTGTAGATCTTTGTTTAGATTTATTCCTACTTATGCCTATTTTATTATTATATTTAATTTCATTTTCTAGGTAATTGTAATATATAGAAATAAAAATGATTTCATATATTGAATTTGTATTTGGCAACCTTGCTAAACTTTATTGAGTTCTGACATTTTATCTATAGAGTCTTTTGGATTTTCTATGTACACAATATTCTTTTTATTTTTTTGAGATGGAGTCTCGCTCTGTCACCCAGGCTGGAGTGCAGTGGCATAATCTTGGCTCCTCGCAACCTCCACCTCAACCTCCTGAGTAGCTGGGATTACAGGTGTGCACCACCACACCCGGCTAATTTTTGTATTTTTAGTAGAGATGAGGTTTCACCATGTTGGCCAGGCTGGTCTCGAACTCCTGACCTCA